CTCTGAGGAGGCGGGCGATCACCGGTGACCCTGGCCCGAGGGGACCGGGGTCCCGGGCCGCGCGAGGAGCACCCGGGCTGAGGTGGCCGTAGGTGGTTTTGTAGTTCCTGGAAACCGCCGTCCCTGCAGCCCGCTGCCACCTCCTGGATCTCCCTGCCCATGTAACCTCTGGTCTCTCTCTGCATGCCAGTCCTCCTCTTCAGCAGGGTGCTAACAAATCTTTCTGCCACCCGTGTGAAGCAGTAGCCTGTCTGTCTTCTGGTCTCCCTAAGTGCTTTCTCAAAAATTGCTAAGTTCTCTCATTCTTTGTTCTGCACGTCTTTTCTTCCATTGCTTAGCATCCTTCTTCAAATCCCATGTCACACCCTACATGTTTGGCAGGCTTCTGAATGCAACAATTATGTACTGTGGCTTTGTGACTGTGGCTTAAACTGAACTCCTTGTTGCTTTTTTGTTGTTTTTGTTATTTCTCTCTTCCCACATGCATTGATGTCATATTTAAATGTCATGGCTTTTTCTTCCTTAGCATTTTGGCATCTTCGTGACAAAATATCTGCTTTAGGGTTTCATAATATCCTGTTTTGACTATTGTAGTGCTGTCTTTTCTGTCATTTTGCATTGGATTCTTTAATTCCAAATCATGATTGATTTTCTTTGCTCTCTAGTTACAGTAATCCAGGTGTAGTCTTTGAATTCCATCACTTGCCCGTAATTTTAATTTACATTGTCCTTGATTTCCTGGGTCCTGTAGCCTCTTGCACATTAAACTGTTCTTCTACTGAATGGTTACCTCTCTGCCATTCTCACGGGCACTTTTTTGGTGTTAGACTAGTTCAGATTTCTACATCTTATTCTTACAAATAACTTCTGCCATATCTTTTGTATTTATTTTGTTGATTTGTGTGGAATTTAATTCCATTTCCCTAACCTTTATTTGCCTTTCCACTAACAATTCTAAGCCTGAACATCTGTGTGTGCTGAAACAGGGAAGGGAAGGAAGATATTAGATAATGTCTGGCTTGTTATAGGTGCCATGGAAGTATTGTTAACTGGTGATTAGGTCATCTTTTTTCTTTAATGTTATATGCCAGTGTAATTAAAACACTGTTTATTTAATTTTATACTAAAAGCTTTCAGTCTTAAAATGCTGATAAAAATCTTAACATTTCTGTCATTCTTCATCTTGTAGTATCACAAATTCGGGTAAACTAACTGGTAATTAGTTTTGTTTTGTAGCTGTAGTAAGTTTCATAGCTTAAAATTGGCACGCTTTGACCTGACTATTCCCTTTCAGTGTGTGTTTGAAGTCTGTTGGTTTGAGTTTTTCTTCTTGCCACCTGGGCACTTTCAAAGGATCAGTTATGTGATGCTGAAGTGGATTTTTAAGAATCTCCAGAAATCTTGGCTTGTGGGCGCAAATTCAAAATTTGTGTTAAATTATTAATACATTTGAAGTCTGAATTTTATTTCTTCTTATTCCATATAAACTGTTATGTTATTATTCTTACGATGTCTGAGTTCCTTTCAGCTTCTCATTAAATGATAACTTGTCACGTGATCGTCTTGTTTTCTCCCTAGAAGAAAAACTCTCTCCTCTTTAGTGATCTGTTTTGTTGAGAGTCTATACAATGATTTTACGCATCAAAAGACATTTCAAATAATGCAATTTTCATTCTTGATTCTGCACTTTATTCAATCAGTTGAAATTATTCAGGTTCTCTGCTGAGATTCTTTTCACTGGATGGCTCTCTCAAGTGCCAGGTTAAAGCCTCAGTTGTTTGTTATGTGTGAATTTTTAATTTTGTATGTGTAGCATTCTATTGTAAAAAAATAATATAGCAAACCTTATATGCTTAAATGAAAAAATCTTCAGTGCTCCAAGAATGTTTTAAAGTGTGTAAAGAATTAACTCTTCTTACACTATTAGAACTCTTCAGTTTAAAATTTTTTAAAAAATCAAATTATTTTGAGCCCTCTACTGTCATTTGGACTTAGAATCGTAGAATGGTTAGGGCTGGAAGGGACCTTCAAAGGTCATCTAGTCCAACCCCCCTGCAAGGAATAGGGATATCTCCAACTAGATCAGGTTGCTCAGAGCCTCGTCCAACCTGGCCTTGAACGTCTCCAGGGATGGAGCATCCACCACCCCTCTGGGCAACCTGTTCCAGTGTTCTACAACTCTCACGGTAAAAAATTTTTCCTAATATCCAATCTGAATCTACCTCCCTCTATTTTAAAACCATTACCCCTTGTCCTATCACAACAGGCCCTCCTGAACAGCCTCTCCCCATCTTTCTTGTAGGCCCCCTTGAGGTACTGGAAGACCGCTATAAGGTCACCCCGGAGCCTCCTCTTCTCTAGGCTGAACAGCCCCAACTCTTTCAGCCTGTCCTCATAGGAAAGGTGCTCCAGCCCTCTTGTCATCTTCGTGGCCCTCCTCTGGACCCTCTCCAACTGGTCCATGTCCTTCTTATGTTGGGGGCTCCAGAACTGGACGCAGTACTCCAGGTGAGGTCTCACGAGGGCAGAGTAGAGGGGGAGAATCACCTCTCTCGACCTGCTGGCCACGCTCCTCTTGATGCAGCCCAGGATGTGGTTGGCCTTCTGGGCTGCAAGAGCACATTGCTGGCTCATATTGAGCTTCTCGTCCACCAGTACTCCCAAGTCCTCCTCCTCTGTATTTGTGCCTGGGATTGCCACGACCCAGATGTAGGATCTTGCATTTGGCTTGGTTGAACTTCATGAGGTTGGCACGGGCCCACCTCTCCAGCCTGTCAAGGTCCCTCTGGATGGCATCCCTCCCTTCCAGCGTGTCGACGGCACCACACAGCTTGGTGTCATCGGCGAACTTGCTGAGGGTGCACTCCATGCCACTGTCCACGTCACCGACAAAGATGTTGAAGAGGGCTGGGCCCAACACAGACCCCTGAGGGACGCCACTCGTGACCGGTCTTCACTTGGACATCGAGCCGTTGACCACCACTCTCTGAGTGCGGCCATTGAGCCAATTCCTTATCCGCCGCGTGGTCCATCCATCAAACCCATGCCTCTCTAGTTTAGAGAGAAGAATGTCGTGCGGGACAGTGTCAAAAGCTTTGCGCAAGTCCAGGTAGATGACATCCATTGGTCGACCCTTGTCCACCGATGCTGTCACCCCATCATAAAAGGCCACCAAGTCTCTTGGACTTCTCTTGGAGGAGAAAAATACACGTATAGAAGAAAATATAAACAAAACCAAATTATATAAACATACACTGTCTTAATCTAAAAATATTTTCAATAAATTTGTACAAGAATGCTTTCCCTGTGTTTCTCTGCCTAAGTACTTTGACTCATTAACACCTGTGGCTGGTATACCGTAGATATTCATATCTTATTTTCAGATCATATGATTTGATTATTTATTTTTTTATGCCAGAGGATCAATTACTTGCATTTTAAGAAAAGCAAAATATGAGGTTGACATTTATCAGAATCAAAAAGTAAGTCAATAAATTGCTAATTTTTTTTATGTGTGTCTGCCATGGGCATTTCTTGCCACAGGGACTGGCTCTGACATTATATGAACATATAACATAGCCAGTATGTATCTGACTGACTGGAGAGTATCAGTTGCTCCAAAAGAACTCTGTTGACACTTTGTCTTTGGAATTCTGTAAGAGTCAGATTTCAGTATTCTGAATTTACAACCTCCATCTTATAATTTAGCTATTTAGATAGGAAATTAAAAGATAGAGAGCATGGTGTAAAGTGTGATTTTTGCTCACAAAGCATGTTCTTTGCTCAGTCACATTGCTTAGTGAACGCCTAAGGCTACGGATCACCTTGCTTAAAGCACTAATTGACCAGCCATCAAGTGACAGCCACATGAATTAAACAGTCTCATGGTCTCTTCCCTATTTTGGAGTCTCTGTTAGGGATTGCCTCCTTTACCCATAATGATTTTTAAATTCTGATTTTGGTTTTAAAATAGTTCTATATATAAATTGTCTGTACAAGGTGCATTAGATGGTGTCACTGATTTTGAATTACTCAGCTGTTTGCTATTTTTCGAAGTTAGATGGCCTAATTATGTAGTTTATGATCCAGCATGATGGATAATGATCAGCAAACCTAAGCAGCAGATGATAGAAATGAGAAGAGCAACTGACAATTCTCACAGAAGTGTTGCTACTATATTGGAGAAAGAGGGACTTGCAAGGGGAAAGTTTGTAATAATTAAAATATAAGCATTTGGATCACAAGAAAAGGAGTAATTTTGTTAACAGAAGTAAGTGTGAAAGTTGGGGTCGAGAAAAGAGGCGAAGACAACACAAATCAATTGCTAGTTGGAAGACAGCATTAGAATGTCCTTGCCTAAGTAACTTTTCTCTCCACAAAATTTCCTGGCAGGCTTTCTCCACTCTGAGGCTGTATTTATACTTGTAAATTAAACATATCTGGAAATCTTCTTGGACACAAGGAGCAACTGGCATGAAACGGCCCACATCTACGCTAGTAATTCTCTTATCTTCCAAAACAAGGCAGTAAGACAGAAACTGCTTGAGGAATGACCTTAGAAGGAGTCCTCACATCAGGCTGGGAAGGTGCCTGGGAGACCGGGGGTTGTCAAATCCCTGCCAGGGCCTGTTGTCACAGTAACAAATACAGACGACTGTGCTTCATTGAATTCGGTGCTATCGAGGCAGCTTAAAGACTCCTACGGTTCTTCTGACTCCCATAAAGGGTTGAACATGATAAAAGAAGTTTCCTGCTCTGCCTCCCTCAAAATGACTGGGTTTGGATCTTTCTTAAATAAGATGACTGTTTAAGTCAAAAGCAACAGCAGCATAAAGCTAACCAGAATTGGGTTTTGCTCAGATGAAATTACTGGAAGAATAATCAAGGATAGAATCTGTAGGTGCTAAAAATAAAGGGAAACAGGAGGACAAAGTGGGTGAAGGGAACAAGGCAGTGGGATTGGTAAGGAACAGTTAATCACAAAGCTGATGGAGAATAAAGGAGGAAAGAAAATAAATGTCAGTTTTGAAGGACATTAGGAAAAGACTCAGAAATTAATATGAATAAAGCTTTCTTCTTAGCCTTTACGTTATCTACTTCACTTCTTAAAATTCTGCAGGACTAGACTTGACTGATTTTCACATCCTTTTGTTTGATGCACTTCATTATTAAAGCCAAGTGTTATTTTTGGCCTAATGCAAAACTACTATCTGAATTTAATATGGGAATAAAGCTTTAAAATCAGCAACTGCTTTGCTTAAAAAAAAGCAAACCCAAAACCAAACAAAAATCACCCAATCCAAAACAAACAAACAAACAAAAAAAACCACCCCAAAACACAAAAGACCACGAAAACAAAAAAACACAAACATGTTGGAACAGTGACAAGATGCTTTTCAAGGTAATTTTATGCTTTCAGTACAATGTAAATAAAAGGGTTTCTTAAGTTCAGGTATGAGTTGCTGATGTGCTGCAGCAGAAAAAAGGTATGAAGTGGAGTGGAGTATTAAGGGAGTGGAGCATCTCCCTTATGAGGAAAGGCTGAGGGAGCTGGGTCTCTTTAGCTTGGAGGAGACTGAGGGGGGACCTCATTAATGTTTATCAATATGTAAAGGGTGACTGTCATGAGGATGGAGCCCGGCTCTTCTCACTGGCATCCAATGATAGGACAAGGGGAAATGGATATATGCTGGAACATAGGAGGTTCCACTTAAACATGAGGAAGAGCTTCTTCCCAGTAAGGGTAACAGAACACTGGAACAGGCTGCCCAGAGAGGTTGTGGAGTCTCCTTCTCTGGAGATGTTCAAAACCCGCCTGGACGCGTTCTTGTGTGATCTGATCTAGGTGGTCCTGCTCCGGCAGGGGGATTGGACTAGATGATCCTTTGAGGTCCCTTCCAATCCCTAACATTCTGTGATTCTGTGATCCTGTGATTCTATGAAGTGGTGTGTGCAGAAGCATCATGTCTCTGAGCCCTTAAGGAGGTAGTAGTATATTGTTTAAGATATATACGATTATCTTATGTGTTAACAAAAACCTTTTTATTTAATAATTTTCCATTAGTCAGAATTTAACAAATCAAGTATGGCTTGATATGCAGTCTTCATAACAATTTCTATTTTAAACATACTGAAACAGTGTATTTTTGGGTTTGGAATATAAACCAGTTGGTGAGATAGGAGAGGGAGCATTTGCTGATGTTCTGAAGACACTGAGTCTTAGGAATGGAAAGTATTATGCATGTAAACACATGAAGCAACGTTTTGAAAGGTATGCATAATTAATCATAGTACTACAGGAAATCTTATTTAAATCGGTGGGGAAACGTGTAATTAAGACTACATGCAGTTTTTTGAATAGACATGCTGATCATGCAGGGCCTTCCCATTTGGCACTGAGGTTATTTCCTTGAGTACTCTGATTGATGTCATCCACTATACTAAATTCTGCCTGGCCACTCAGTCAGGGTGAAACGAGAAGGCTGAGCACTAAATAGTTGATTTCTGCCTTTCCAAATGCACTGACTATATTTGTGCTGTTTTTCTTTTCACTGTAAATAATAATAGGAGGAGGAAACATGTCAGTCCTTCCCCTGGACAATACTTTTCTCAGTCGTACTTTAAATACTGTTTTAATGCAAGTTAAAACCACTGTATTTATTCTTAGTCCATGTACAGCGTTCGTTCTACTTCATATTTGCATTTATATTTAATTACATCCACCAGCAAGACACTCTCTGTGGTCACAAAATAAGTACTTTTTATCAGTTAGGAAAATAGCAGAGAGGGATGTGTGGAAGTAAACAGAGTTGACATTCTCCTCCGACTATATGTGTCAAATAATGTCTTTTGGGTCACTGACTTTGAATTCTCCATAAAATATATTAAGTTGCTAGTGAAATCAGTGGGAGTGACACATTTGTACATACGAAGTAAAATGAGACATTTTGCTCTTAGGGGAGGTTTCACAATGTAACTCAGAGTTTCAAAGACTGTAAGTTTTAAAACAAAAAAAGAGAACTCAAATATCAACTAATGTGGCTTCTGATTCTCTGTTGTGTTATTAGAGAACTGTTGATCAATTTATACATTACCTACAACCGACCAAATCATCCAATTTATGATCAAAAGAGTATTTAAAATAACTGCTTAACTATCTCAAGCAGATGGTATACAATTCAGTGGTAGGGTGTAACAAGCAGACTCTTTTTTTCATGTAGCATGTTTAAGATCTCTTTTAGGCCTTTAACCCTTTGATAAATTGACTGACAAATTCTTTTGATGAAATGAACTCTTTTAGTAACAGATAACAGTGTTTTAAACAGAAGCTGTAAGGCATTTCTCCTAGTTTCAAATTAGGAAATAATTGTTTTGGTGTTGAGCTTTAAGTCCGACTGTGAAAAGGCGTATGTGCCCTGTTCTGATCCATTAAATAGAGTACAAAGCTCTTTGTTTCCTGCTTCCTCCCCAGAGTTTCTGTAGCATGTAGTTTTCTTGTTTATTAAAGTCTAGGAGGGCAACGTAATAATTAAATAGTAAGAGGTTACCATCAAAACTTAATTTAAAATGTTAAATTTGGCAAGGCTAGATTGTCACTTATCAGCATCCTGCTGAGCAGTAGTGGGAATGTATGCTACACCAGTACAGAAAAAACAGCAATCATCCATGCTATTATGCAACACAGAATTCCTCCCAGCTAGCTCCTTGGCATGGTAACTGATGTCTGGAACACATCACGTTACTGCTTATCTTGTTTGGGCAAGTCCAGCTACTCCAGACTGCCAGAAGGAATAAAGCCATTCTCCTGATTTGCTCTATACAGAAACAAAGCAGGCAAACAATTATCAGGTCTTGCATTTGAAAGTTCAGTTACATACTAAAGTGGAGCAGATTCTGACAGTCTCATGCCAGGGAAGAAAAACAACTATAATCCAGTCTCTGATTGCAAGTCCTTCTTCCTCTTTTCTTTTTAATTCAACTTTAGTGTGGAACAAGTGAATAATCTGAAAGAGATACAAGTGCTAAGGAGGCTGAGTCCACATCATAATATCCTTATGTTACATGAAGTTTTTTTGTAAGTATGGTGCATTCATTTCTTTCTTCTTTATTGCTTTATTTGAATGATATTCAGTGACTTTTGGGTCTAGCGGCAACCTGTAGGCGCTTAACCAGCTTTTTATTCCAGCAGGAAGGAAGAGAACCCAACACATTTGTCAAATTCTGAAGTCTTCATGCTTTTTTTGTTAAGAAAATCTGATGTAGCTTGCACTTTCTCTGGCTTTTTTGCAGCAGACCAAAATTATTTCAACATCAGTATTAAAATTACAGACTAGATTTATTTTAAGCATAGGTAAACTTCATACCGTAGTATATAATACTTGCTGGTGATTTCAGCCCATGTCCTGTATCCAGTGAGTGCTTTAACTGCGCAACATCGTATCTACTGGAAACAGTATTTTGGTTAAACACACGGGGAGCTTATCTGCTGTGCAATAGGCTCTGGTATTTCAAGGATCTTGGTTTGACTTGTCAGTTTGAACCAGGGATCCAAGCAAACTATTTGGCAGTATCATTTCATAGGCAACTTTGCAGACACCCCTTTGCAAATAGTCGTTTAGACCTCTGAATTAGGCAGCAGCTGGGCTATGAGTCGGGAACGAGATCTATCAGAGATGAAAGTTGGGTTCCTCAGCCTCATTAGGCACTTCAGTGTCTTTTGGGGACATGCTCTGTCTCACAAAGAGATCAGGTTTTATGACAGCATTTACTCCATTACCGTGCATTAACTTCATCATTATGCAACAGCAGACATATACTTCATTATTCAAATACTTGACACAAAACTTGTTGACTGGTCTAAAATATTTTTTTCTTGCTCTTCAGTCTGTCTTTTTCTCTGCTCAAGGCTCTGGTACTATATTGTTATTGACAGGCCTGTTTTCTACAGATATATGGAAAGCTGGTAATCGTGTCAGCAGCTTAGCTTTCTGGAACTCTCAGCTTCAGCTGCCGTGTTGTTCACAAAGTGTAATCCAGATGGCCAGCCAGTTCGCCCAGCTCTTTCACAGCCTGTCTGCCAGCGGAACTGCAGATTGTACCTCAGCCTTGTGCTGTCTGGGTTAATGGAACATTGCAGAGGGGACGCACTTTAATGCAATTATCTTGTAAGAAAAACTGGAGACCAAAAGATGTCTGTGTCTGCAGGGCAGTGAAATGGAAAATAAAGTGTCAGATGTATTATCATATCGTGACAATACTTAAAACTTCTGTTGTCAGCAAAACACAGATTCCAGTCATACCCATTTCCATGCACTAGAACACTCCTGGTGACTTGACTAGAAAGTATTTTCAGACCTAGCGTAATGGCTTTCCTGTCTTTCATTTTAAGATTGTATCAGTCGATTTACTGGAAATTTCTTGGTGCTGAACAGTGCGATATGCCCAGAAAGCTTTCCTTCAAATAACTTCATAGAGTAAAGCAGTTAACTTTTGCAACAGACCGTTTGGTTAGTATAAACTAAAACTATGATACCTCAGAGCCCAAGTGGGAAAACTCCTATGAGAAACTATCAATTAAAAATGGAAACGCTCATTTTGATACTCATTAAACTAAGTACTTACTACACTATGTACAAATCAACATTTCTAGCTTAAAATCTCCTTATTTGTTTCTTCAGTGATAAAAAACCTGGCTCCCTTTCACTCATTTGTGAACCTATGGACATGAATATTTGAAAGCTGGTAAGAGATATGTAGCATATGCTTAAGAGACATACAAACCTTTCTTGTATAGATCACAAGGTGGAATTATTTTTCACTTGTTTTTTCACCGTTAGATGTTACAAAATTTATAGGGAAGTTTTGTGCCGTACTGCTTTGCTCTTTATTTCTTTCCAGTGCAATATACCCCCTTGCTTAAGGCATGGATGCCTGCAGAAGGTTCCTAATGAGTCAGATCAATGGCCATCTGTTTCTACAGTCAAACTTTACATGAAAACAGGGGAATAACCTTGACTGCAAAACACAAAATAATTGCTTTATGTGACAAAAAGTACAACTTAAATAGGTTCTTTGTTAGGTCAGGACTGTAATGATATAACAAGAAAATTATTCCTGTTTGTTTCAAAAACTACTGAATCAATGAATAATGGTTTTCAGGTTTTATACCTAGTAAAAATGCCTTTTACCAAATTTTCTTTATCAAATAACATTGTTCCCTGAAACGTCCTATATTTGAAAATTCTGGAGTTGTTTGTCGAAGCACATGGGAGACCATAAAGCTCAAGGAGGAGTTCCTACAAAAGAGTTCGAAGTTTTCTAACAAAAGCTGTTTTGAAACCTAATCTCATATAGACACCAAAGGAGTTGGATACAGCAAATGAAGGGACACTTACTTATAATTTGCTATTAAAAGAGCATTCTTTTTCTGAATAATTAAAAATTTGTAATGCCTTAACAGTTGGGAGATTCATTTAAATAACTGACCGTGCAACTGTCATTCAGTGTAACAGAATACATAAAAGACTTGCTCCCAAACATTAGTCTCGTGACACTGAGTATTCAGATCTCTAACAAAAGGAGTAACCCTGTTTCTGACCTAGATAAAAATTTGAGGTTAAATTACAATTGTTTGCTGATTGCTGAAGCAGACATTAATATTTGCTGGTTTTAATACGACATTTTATTTTTCCAGGATAAATTTGTTAAGTTGTAAAGTCAGAGTAATAGCATATAGGAAGGAGTCCTCATTGGATAGTAAGTTAGTCCAGTGCATTAAAACAATCCTGCATCTTTTCCTTCCATGAAAGATACTAAACTTCAGTTATGAAAAATCAGAATGTTTAGGTTTGTTCTTTAACTGCCTTTTTTTTACCTCAGAGTATTTGCTTTAATTTGGCTACATTTCTCAGTCTTTCTCTCATTCTTTTCATGTGAAAAAGCCTGCTATATTAAGTATTGCATACAGATGGAAATTAGTCTAATAGTTTCAGTGTGTTCTGCTATGTTTTTTTATTTCAAAATTCAGGTTTTATCAAACTCAGGTTTTCCATAAAAAGATAGTTTTCATGCCATTTAGTTTTAAAAACGTCCTTTTTTATGGCATGGTGAATCAGTTCAAAATGAAATCTATGTTCAATTCTAATCTGAAATGCTGCAGTTGGGGGTTATCTAAACCTTAATCTGGGTCTACCTGAAATACTATAGATCGCTGGTTCTTTATGGTCTGGATTTTGTTTCTGGACTGTGTTTCCCATGATACAATGTCTTTTTTTCACCGTGTACAAGGTGGTGGCACATGGGGTGGAGCTTGTCAAATCATAGAATAAAATAGGAAAACAAACAACAGATTCTTCTGGATATTATAAGAAATTTTTTAAAATCTTTTGATATTTTGCAGTATTAAAGTATTTAATTTGTGCCAAGTGTTTTGCATTTTTAAGAAATCTATTTTGTATTTTCAAAGTAGACGTGTCAACACCACAATTTCCCGTGGGGCAGAAATAGTTTTTTATTTGTTTTCTCCCTCAAACAACTCTACTTGTGGCTTATTGAGAAGTCAAGAAGTGTAACGTGTGGCAGTCATTTCAAACAATGAAAATGGCAAAAATTCCAAGTACCTAATTAAATCGGAAAATTAGTCTTAGTTCTCAGCCAGAACACTTACAGACAGAGGATATCTAGATAACAATGGCAAACAGAAGTAGCTCCTTGTGAATTTTCAGTGTTGTGATTTGAAGGAGTGCATTACTAATTTGTAGAACCATTAAATTGCGTTCATTACTGATGCTCTGTCACAAAACAATTTCAGAGTGTACAAAAGCAGTTACATTTCAGATGATTTGTAGTCTGTTGTAAATTTGTACAGTGTATAGTAGTGAAATGCTTGTCATTTTCTAAGTGCTCTAAATCTTGCAAAATTAAGCTTAATGTAGGTGCAGAACAACTTAAAGTTAGAAATCAAATTTAGAGGCAAGCATGGTTTGTATGAAATTTTGTAATGAAGAAAATCTTGAAGCAGTGGTTGACTGAAAATGAATTTCTAATTTAACAAGATGCATGGAGACACTTCTGCAATTAGGGAAACGGTTCACTGTAATGCTACTAATGTGGAAAGTTGATCCTTTTGATTTTTTCCTTAATAGACTGACAGATTCGTGTTATTTCAATCAAGACAAGGCTGTTTGCCTTTCCATAAAATCACAATACTCCTGCTATTAATTTACAGTGGTATCCCAAGTAATTTAATAACTGAAAAACAGTCTTGCCTTCTGTTTAATCAAGAACAGTTTGGTCATTTAAAGTGGTGGGAAAATTTGCCTCAAGCAAAACGATCATAACCTTATGATTCACTTCATCATTACCTTCAACTAAGGTTTCTCTAATGACAATCTGGAAGCAGACGAGCTTCTGCTCCAGATTACTAGTGACCTGTAATGAAAAAACAATTGAGCATGACTTCTTTTCACGAAGGCCTGATTTTTAAACTACTGATAATAATCCAAGTGAGTTTGAATAGCTGCGGTTTATAAAATCTTGTCTACTATAAATGCCCAAAATCCTGATGTTGAAAACGCCAATTACCTCTAATAATAATACTACAATTCCCGACACAATGTACTCTGTTTCGGGTGCTTTGTTATCTAATCCTGCTCAGTGGATTCTGTGGCTGGCTGGAGGAGTACTGCGATCCGTTAGGAACACAAGTCCCGCCGGCTGCTCGGACTTGCAGCCTCAATGAGTTAGTGTCCTGGTCATCTCCCTCCTCCTCCCCAGCCAATTACTCATACTCCTGTCATCAGGCAGATCAGTACCTGCTTTGTTTTTCAAAAATGTGATCGTTTCTGCCTCCCTTTAGGACATTGCAGTGTTACATAAAGGCATTCCAGCAAGATTAAAAGGCCTTTGGAGCCTGTAAAAGGAAAAAGCTGAGTCGTTACTGAATGGCTCTGAAAAATAGATAAATTTTATAGCTGCCGTTATTGTGCAAGGACAATAGCAAGCTGAGCTGCATAGGTTAACCTTTAATTTGCAACTCAAATGTGAATCACAGCCTTTTAAGCGTTTAAGTAATTTGAGGTGATTGATATCAATCTTGAACTTTAAGGACAGTTACTTTGTTTAGAGAGGAAATTAGATGTTTAGAAGTGAAATACTTCTCCTAGAGTTCTGCTAGAACTTGGGGAAACAGATACTGCAAGAAAAATATGCAGTAAAAGGCAGATTACAGACTTGAATTGACAGTTGTTAGCTGCGCTGTTCTGGTGCATACTGATGTCTAGAGTTGAGTGGAAAATGGATTACAAAGCTAGCTATAAGTGACAGGAATAGTATAATTGAAAAAGGTAGTATCAATGCACTGTTGGAAGCTGAAGAGTAATTTTTTTTTGTATTCTGTTGTTTGCTAAAAAGGACCTGTAAAACTTGAAATATAATTCTAGGAAGGAGAAAGCCATTACCCAAAAAAAAACCCCAAACCCTTAAGAACAACATGTACCAGTTATGCAAATCTCTTGATTACATACACAGGTAAGAGACTTGGCTCAGCAGCAGCTTTACAGTGAATGTCTCATACGTTTATTTCAGAGTCATCTTTAAGTAGAGACATTCAATTGTCTGGGGCAGCGGACTGCTGCAGGGAGAAAAAAGGCATCTTTGCCTCCAGCGGAGCCCTGGAAGGCAGCGAGCAGGTAGCCCGTGCTACTGCCAGCACACAAAGGGAGCTCTGGTACCTGCTGCAGGAAGCCCTGCCCATCCTTTGGTGACCCCCGTGAGAGCAAAACCAGAGCCTGGCCTCCGCTTCCTGCGGTCGCCCTTTCCCCATTCCCATACCTGTAGCTGTTGTCTCACCATGGTGGCAAAATTCAGGTTTTTACTATGCTGTTGATAAATTTGAAAAAAGTGTTAGTTTCTTTAAGTATTTTTTTTACAAATAACTGGAAGCACTGATAATGTTTATCTTTTTACTGAACTCTTCTGTCTGATGGTACAGAAATAGGATATTTAAGAGAGATGTGAAACCAGAAAACATATTAATAAAGGTAATTGATTTTATGAGAGGATATTTAACTGAAAGTGTATATCAGTATTGAAGTATACTTTAGTCTGAAAAGGTAATGCTTCTTCATGAAAAGAAGGACAGTTTTTAAAAAATATATAGACAGTTACTTCTAATACTGTGTTCCTGATCTAGAAGAATGAACAAGCAAGTTTGTTATTGGCTAAAACCTGAAATGAATCAGACGCATTACAGCCTGCATGTGCTCCAATCTAGAAACCTGTTCTTTATCCTCTGTTAATTTATGTTTTCCTTTCTGTGTTAGCCTTGAAACAAGCGATAGGGTTCAATTCTGCAGCCCTTTTTGTCTACATTCAATTCCTACATTTAGTGGAAGTTATTCATACTAAAGAGAGCAGAAGGTATTAGCTTTCAGAAGATTTCTTCATTGAAATCTATTCTCCTGACACTTTCAGAATGTTATTTTGCTAACGTCTGAAAAGCAAGGATTTCAAAATTCAGTTTATGAAATTTTATTTTCTGGTGATAAATTTTTTTTTAAGTCTTAGAAGTGTACAGGAGAAGCCATTACAAACAGAAGCCAAAGCTGCCTGTTGTATCACTGTTAAACACACGAACTCTAAGAAAATAACTTAATCCAGATGTCCTACTTAGCAGTCTTCCCTTCCGTAATAGTCCATATGCTTTTCCATTAACTCTTAGCTCTTTCTTTTAATGATGCGTAGAATGGTATTTGCACATATTATAGGGCACAGATATCTTCAAGCCTGGAGCTACTTACTATTTAAATGCAGTTCTGCTGCTATAATACTTCCCCTGGAATTGCTGAAATTTTATTCTTAAAGTAATCTGTGATTTCTTTTATGATGACTACTTCACACATTTAAGGAAAATCTTTGCTGGAATATTTCAGTCTTTCTAATTTGTCAAAATACTGTATTTATTTTTGCAGTAGAATACCCTGAAGTTAGCAGATTTTGGATCTTGTAGGAGTATCTATGCTAAGCATCTCATACAGAATATATCTCTACACGTTGGTACTGAATGCTTACTTACAGATGGCGACTATAGTTGCAAAATTGATATGTGGAGCGCTGGCTGTGTTTTCTATGAAATCACAAGGTGCAGCATTCAGTGGAGGGTCTTGCTTATTATTAGTCAAGAAAATCAAGGGTGAATAACTCAAATAAGGAGCACGTGGTATGGGTAATACGATCTTTGTTTTCAAGGTTTTGTGGAAGCTGCTTCCGTGATTAGTCTGCAGGGCAGTAATCCTGTCTTGTCTGGCACTCTTTTCACCCTGTGGCAGGTCAGTAATAAAGCAGTGGGACTTCCAGAGAACATAGTACCCACAAATATTGTTTATAAGTAAAATAACGTTTTTGAACAGTTGGTGGTTTTGGTTTTGTTTTTTTCTTTTTTTTTTTTTTTTTCTTTCTGCGTTGGCTTCACATTTGAGTTTGGTAAAAATGTGTTTTCTCTGCCTTATCTCTGAATAGAGTATGCTCGTTTCCTATCATGAGCATTGCTAACTGTCCTCAATCTTGTTGATGCGCTTGATGGTAAAATTTTTTCCTCTTTTTTTGACTTACTATTCTGAAAAAACAGAGGAGGTTAGAGAAGACACTCTCTCTGATTTACTGCTTTGCTTCATAACGTAGTGTGTTTAAGACCTTTTTGTGCCTGGGCCTTATGTACTGGAATATTTTGAAGTTGGATTCTGATGAAGGAAAAGTTCGGGAAAACCCAGATTAAAGTCCTTTAAGATTTTCAATGATGATGAAACTATAACTCAAAAAATTTGTCACTGATCTTCAAGAAAAAAGGAAAAGTAACCACCATGAGTATTTCTCCAATATCTTTGTGCCCTAGCAACAGCAGCAGTTCTTCGTTATTCTCCTCCCACACTGCTGTCTCAGTCCTGCTGCCAGGACTGATAGCATTTGCTTTGCTTCTTTCCTCCTCCTCCACATGGCAAGTGCAGCTGCTGCCATCACCATCACACTACATGACAACCCTCATGCTTTGCCTGTTAACTTGTAGAAACAGTTCTCCTTCGGTCAGAAAACTGTTAACAGAAAAATCCCAAATGTGGCAGTTCTCTTGCAAAGCAAATCAGGACCAAAAGCTTTAAAAATGCTGTGGTTTTCCATTTCAGTTTGAATCAGGTGGGCTTTGAAGTTGGCAAGAAAATTACACGCTGCAAAATTAAGTTTTCTTAGGGCAAAAAACCTTAAATGTTTCCTCATAATTTTAGCTTAATGTAACAAATTTCATTCCTTGCAACCACTGCACATTTTCAGAGACCCGATAGATACATTCCGAGAGAAATGAGAGATAATCGTTGGAAATTACCAAATTAAAAAAGATACGGCCTTGCCAAGCTACAGGAAGTTACAGACAGGCTCCTTTCTTTTTAAGTGCGTCTTGCAGTTTTTGCTGTCAAACATTCGTGTAAGCCTTTATGCTTGACACCACAATACGTTAAGAATTTTTCGTCTTTTACTCAGCCATGCTTATCTTTCACATTTTGCTCTCCTTCTTTCTGTTCCTTATAAATCATGGTTCCTGGATTACATTTTTTTTTTTTTTGTGGATTGCACAGTTGTTCTTCTCCAAGTTACAGCTTTACATTTAGAGATAGCACGTTTTTGTAGTTCACACAAAAGCCACTCCCAGCAGCTTTTCTTGCTGTAGCTGCACATGAATCAGATCTCTTTTCTCTTCTTCCTCTACTCAAAGCTTTGTAAAGACATTCAGAGAAGTGTGCAGCCAGCTGTTTGACTGAATTTGTGAACAGTTAAAAGATGTTTCCTCCCTCTACAGAAAGGGCTGAATGTATTGCCTTCAGAAATAACGTGGTGCTACTGAAGTGTTTCTGAAATTACAAGCCCAAGAAAACGCTCTGCTAAGATGGAAAAGGCAACATGCAAGAAACAAACGTTAGTGAACGTAACTTGTTAAGTCAGATTGCTCTATTGACAACGATGTTCTCAAGGATTCTATGCAAGTTTTATATTAAATGAGGATCAAGCTCAGGAATGCAGTTCAAATTACCATCTTTCCTGTATTATTGCTTGCAAGCAACCTGTGTGTTAGGAAGGGAATGTTTCTTATATATTTCTATATGCACACACAACAAGAGGGACTGTTTGACTCTGCTGTCTTAAAATGAGGAAAGCACGTTGTCTCTGGGATCTGCCGCTTCACTAGAGGAAAACACAATCCCATATCCATTGCCTTTCACCAGGAGGGATGTTCTTTTCCCACGTTTTACACTTCACCTGTGAGGAGAGGGCAACTACAGGTTTCTGTTTAATAACCCAAACTACTCTTTCCATCCTACCATGCAGTTGTATTAATCTGCTCCTCACATGTTAACCTTCAGTTGTTGGTTGGTATTAAACTGTCCACAAATTAATAATTCTAAAATGTATCTTCCTCGTAAATTAAGTTTTTTTAACTGAAGTGACAGCTGTGTCACTTAAACTAGTCATGGTGTCTTCTCTAGTGCTAATACCATCTCTTACCTTGCAATTTTCAGCCTGTCTTTCCTGGATCTAATGAGCTGGACCAAATTTCAAAAATCCATGATGTTATGGGCACTCCTGCTAACAAAACTCTCAACAGGTTCAAGCAGTAAGTATGCACTTCCATAGTTATTATTCTAACTGTTTAAATAGCCACAGTAGAACTGTACAACTGTGTGCAATTTCTGCTCAGGGAACCACCACAAAAATCTAATACTGTTGTGACAGCTGCTGACCAAAGAGCGGTGTCTTCTATCCCTACCCAGAGTTAGTCATGCATTTGTGATCTCTGTAGGCAGAGCAGAGGAAATCTGAGCCTGTATCAATCTTATCTGGCCTTCTGTTTCCACAGTGTCTTTAAGGCCAATGACATAACTTGTTAGGAAAGAAAATTTTTCTCAAGTATTACTTACTCATCCCTAATAAATGATTACCTAAATCAGATGAGAATTATTCTTTTTTCAGTAAATTGTAATTCTCTCTGAATATGCATGAATAACTGTTCTCCACTTGCTTTAACACAGGTCAAGAATTGTGAGTTTTGATTTCCCCTTTAAAAAAGGAAAAGGAATACCTCCTCTTGTGCACAGTTGGTCTCCCAAAGCCTTCTCTCTCCTGTACGCAATGATAAAATATGATCCCGATGAGAGAATTGCTGCCCATCAAGCATTACAGCACCCTTATTTTCAAGAACTCTGGCAAGTGACTTCCAATCACTTCAGTCTTGAAGACTAAAATTAAAAAGTGGGGGGAGTGCTGTGTATTTATTATTTAAAGTGGACTGAAACAAAGTTTGCTTGCAGTGCTAGTGCTTAGTTTGCAATACGACGAACACCATTCAGTCAATGTAATTCTTCGCATTGAGGCCAAACTTCACCTAAAGCACAACTGATGGTTTTATCTTTTTTTTTTTCTTTTTTCCCCAAACTTTATAGGACAGCTGATACACAAGCTTTGGCTATGTACAAAAAATTAAGATTACTAGGAAATACCACAGGGCAAGTACCTCTGTGGCAAATTTCAAAGGAAAGTCAAAGACAGGTAATATTTAAGTGGAAGAATTGTCAGCCCATTTAGGGAAAGTAATTTGTGACACTGAGCTTGTTAGCTATAAACGTTTTACTTAAGCTGATTACTTGGTTTCATTCAGTCTGCCTAAACACGGATCTTTATTGGGTCTGATGCAGTTCCACCCCCCTCGCAAGCCCTGAAAACCATGAGTTAGAATTCAGAAGCTGTGATACCATATAATCCCTTCAGTAGACAGTTGTCATAGTTGCTGTTACTTAAAGGGTCAGTTCCATGTTTTTTAAAATATCTTCCTCCTCTTCTTTTGCTGTCTGGCTTTGAGTTAAAAAGTTGTACAGATGAAGTTGTAGCAGAGGCAGAAAGTGTGCTTTTGCCTTGGCAGGACTTCAGTCTACATTTAGATGGGAAAATCCTAAACTTATATTTATATGACACTGGAAGTCAAAAAATTAAAACCTGATTTAAAATTCTGGCAAACTAAAACCTTGTTTATATTCAAGCTATGTGAAAACTGCTCAACATCCTCACTCTTAAGGGTTCGCGATATCTGCAAGGTGAGATAGAAGTTAGTACTATGTGAAAAACTCTCAAATACAGGTTTTTCTCAAAAAAAGATTACAGTAGTAAAAAAAATATAATTTTCTGCTATGCGTTGAACCTTGAAAGCATGAACTCTCCTTCCATTGGAGCAACCACTTTTTCTGCCAGTTTAGTTCTGGGGTTCATCAATGTAGGCTTTGTAAGAAGTTCCTTCAGGAAAAATTGCAAGAAACATCAAGTGAGGTAATTTAAAAAAAAATAATTAGCTGCAGTAGTATTTGGCTGTTATTTTTTTCTGATAATTTAATTTTATATTAATTTTATATGTTCTTGGAAAGAAACTGAATCTTTTGTATTAAAGCATTCCCTTAGGACAGTCCAGGAAAAAAACAAAACCACAACATAGACACTCTTATGGAGAATTACCAAAATTAAATATTTCTGGAGTAGCCAAATTAATTTCCTGTCCTACTCCTGCATTGCATTCAGTGTTCTGAGCTCCTAAGGAAAGTGGTGAAACCCCTGTGATACAGTATGCTAGATTTATTGGATCAAATATTGAGGTATGGACTCTGACTTGCTCGTTAAAGTTTAATAGCAAAAGTGTTTTACAGAGCGTATTTCAAACTTCTGTTGTTTCCTCAACAGTCTGAGAAACAGAAGGCACTTAAGTCTTCCCCGAAAACGTTGCCACTTACCTGCTATAGAAAGAAGAGGAGGGTGTTACTGACCACCTTGTAAAGTCTTTGGAGCGTGAGGAAAAGCACGGCTGTGCAGTGAGAGAGATCCCATCGTGCTTTCATTGTTAGAGATCTAACAAGAACAGCAGTGCCTTCTTTTGTGTTTTTCTGACAATTTGTAGGAAAACCCCACAAGGTTATGAGGGCTGCTTACCTGCCGTTTTGGCATTCTGCTCCCTAAAGCATTGTCCTGGCAGAGCTTAGAGAGCGCTCTGGGTTGAACTTCCTAAGTGTTTTTTCCTTTAGAACCTGATGGAGGATGAGGTTGATTAAAAATAACATGAAAGGATTCTTTGAGCTTCATCTACAAAATAGGTTTTCATATTATGTTATACATGACAGCTAACTGTTGTATATTTTTTAGATGTAAAAAAATCTTCATTTTCAGTCAACTCTGGAAAGTACGCACCTCCTGTATTTAATAACTTCAAGTTTTATTGAGAATCCGCAGATTACGCAATCATATGAGGTATTTGATGCAGTTTCTGTAACTGCTGAATATTTTTATGTAACTATAGCTAAAAGCTAGAGCAACTTTTTATCTGATTCAAAACCAAATAAAATTTAGTCATAGTTTTCTTCAAGCCACTGATCTTAATACTAATCAAAAGTTTTAACAGTGACTGATGTTGCAGCTAGTTGCTTAAAAGAGCAGTAAAGGCGTATATCTTAGCATGTTTCAGAAATTTTGCAGTCAGGTCATCAGTAACAATTTAATATGATGTTATGTTTGCTAGGGCTATAAAAGGCAAGAGTTGAAAGGCAGAATTTTTATCTTACTTGGAAAGAGCAGTTATTGCAATTTGATACCATTGATATTAAAACTCCCGCGGTCTCCTAAAAATTTGCAATAATTAATTTGCAGTACTTAAATTTGGTGATGTGTTACAAACCAGTTTTGTCGTTTAAAAAAAACAAATTCATTTGTGCAAGCCATACTTAGCTGGGGGTTTAAAAATCTTCTGCCTATGAAGCATGCATGCAGGACAGGTTTTGCATATACCTTTTGTTTTGTTTTTTAATAGTTCTAAAAGTTACTCTGCTCATAATTGGGAAGCGATCAGTTTTTTTTTCCAGTAACCAAACACCTCTGGAACTGCTGCTGTTCAAAATTTTTTGTGCAACAAAAAGTGAAAACCAAGCAATGGCTGATAAGTGAAGGCAGGCAAGGGCATGTTGTATTAGAAGTCATTGCTGCACATGAAGCACAATGAAAAAATGCAATGGGTCGCAGATCACGTTCAAGTTACTCAACCAACCCTTAAGCATCAATTTCAGACTGATGCTCTAAATCCAGACCAAAATATTTAATCAGTTAAGATGCAGCTCAAACACTGCAGTAAAATACATGTTAACATAAGGGTTTTATAAAAATACTACTCATCTAGAATAAAAGTTATGCCCATTACGTGCTCAGCTCTCCGGAGATTTTATTAGGCTATGCATGTGTGAAAATAACAATTTTCTCACTCAGGTAGAGGTGTTCCAGTAGGTGGCTTTTTTGTTGCCTTTTATTTTGGTTGGTTGTTTTTTTAAGAATCCATGTCTTGACACCTGTAGGATTCTGTGGTAACTGCATTAGATACTATTCCTTGTTCTGCCACTCAGCTTCTGGATAACTTCAGGCATACCCAGACTCCACATTGTAGTTTTTCAGTGTGGAGAAGCTCCTGAGACTCAAGATCTTTATCAATCCTTTTGAGATCTACTGCTTAAAAGCACCTGTTGGTCTACTGTGACCTCTTCATGTTCTGAAGAAGTTATTCTTTTCGCATACTGTACTGAGGATCAACATGACATTTACTAGCAGATTTTTTAAAAATATGCAAATAGCAGGCTAAATGTTTGTGGTGCATGCTGTGGGAAGTCTCTTTTGGTATTGATTTGGACTACCCAAGTTGAGTATCTTGCACCTGCATCACGGCCTACTGCACCTTTGCTCATTTTATTCCATTTCTTCATAGCAAACTTTCAGAATGTCAACAGCAAGAATGGAAAAACATCCCAGCCTTGGCAAGAATTCTTGTACAATAAGGCTACAGCACATGAACAAGGCTCTGCAGGGAAACCTGTACTGCTGCTGCTCCTCCTTGGTACGCCAGAGGAACAGCAGATTTCTCTTACTGGAACTGAATAAACACATAAGCACAGTTTTAGTGGAGGAAGTGTTCTACACCAGTGGAGTGAGAACATCATAATGAGAGAATTGAACAGCCCAACATGATGGTGTAGCTAACTGCCCTTTCTCATTTCATTGAAACTCGTACTGGATGGATGCTGGCTTTCCTTCAGTTCTAAGCAGAAGAGATGCTCCTGACCATGGTATCCCGAAGTGCAGTGGGGGATACATGAAGACAGAGTGACTGGCTGAGTTTTACTGCTCTATTACAGTTAATCCATCTCCCCACTTCGTCATGCTTTCATGTTGGCAGTTCATACGGACAGAACAGATAAAGAACTTGACCAATACGGCAATCCAATATTTGTCTGAATAGCTAGTATGGGGGGGTTTTATATGTATATATATATATATATATAAAAGGCAGCTGTGATGCTAAGCTTAGGAAATGGAATTAAGGATTGCAGCTCTACAGGCAACACAGTTTAACAGTAACCTCTGACTCACTCCTTACCTTTGGAACTCCAAGCAAAAAGGTGCCATGAGCTTATCCAGGGTTTTTTCCAAAGAGGAAGATGGTAAGTTCTTGGTGTTAATATACTTGGAGTTGAGTATGGTGTGCAGTAGTAAAAACGATGGTCTAAAAATAGGTAATGTATTGTATCTCAGGGATCTCGCTCTCCGCAGTTATCAATTTCTTACAAGATTAAAAAAAAATAATTAAAAAAGACCTACTACCATTTTACTGATCCTTCATACTCAGAGCTCCCTCACCTACCATTATTCAGTAGGCCAGTGCTCATAATATCAGGGTGTATTCCTGATGGAGATGCGTTAATTGTATTGGTAGCTTTCCATCATTTTTCTGGAAACCTCTAACCACAGATGCTGAAGTTTAAGTATTTCAACTAAAAAAAAAATATTCCCTCATATCCTGTGTGCACAAGATACTTCACTGTTTTCAAAAGTGTTATTGCAACTGTTTGCTTCTATGATTAACGTATCAGGTAGGTAATTACTTTATTCATACACCAGGAAGGTGGTTGTATGAAAGTGGTTGTTTTTTTAAAAAAGATTAAGTGAGAATTTTTGCTAAGTTTCAACTTGGATAGAAGAGGCTATCCGAGTAATACCTTGTATGTTACCAGCAGTTCTCTCTCACGTACTCTGCATCTGGGGCTGTCAGGCTGTTATAATGAAAAAGGCAATTTCACATTCAGCAGACCGTTTTTGCTATGAATATGGGGGATTTCAAGTGAAGAACCACATTGGAATGTTTTCTTCATTTGTTTTACACTTCCAGGTGGATCTTAACACAGTTTGGCACATATGGTGGTTCATGGGTAATTATTTCCTAACAAGTTCTTCACTGTTATACCTCTGGAGACAACTTACACTTCTTTGGCTGTTGGATTAGTAGGCAAACTTGAGTTTTCCCACCTGCTTTATAGTTAAAATACACTCAACTTTAAACTACAAACTGGCAAGTATTGTTCCTACGCTCGTTCTTCCAGCTAAAATTCCATATTGAGATGATCTATGTTCCACTCTCTTAATTTTTTTTTAACATAGGAGAAAAAAGTTATTTATTAAGAGCTGTATCTATAGTAGGAAGCTCTAAGTTCTTTCCAGGTAAGTTGTTAGTATTCCTTTTCTTCCTAAAATATTTTGTTTCCATATGGAGTAAAGGGTGGGATAGGCAGTTCAAGCTTCTAGGTGATTGCCTAATAGTAAAGAAGGGGCTGAAAAAAGAAAAAACACATTCACTCCTTGTATGCTGTTTAACCGTGATTTGTAGCAGGGACGCATATGCAAGTAGCTGTTATTATTACCCCAATGTTGGATACGACAGTCTTTTCCGTACTGGTTTTGTACTTTTCCAGCTGAAGGAAAAAAGTATTTTAAAAGTTATTACATATTTTATCAACTGTTTCATTTTGACTCAAACCCTGTGAAGCACTTATATAAAAGAAGTCTACAGGGAGACAACTACCCTAGTTTTCAGTGATGAGGTTTATCTGTATTTTACCAGTTAAACCCACTATGTTAATAAAACAAAACTTATGAACAATAATCTCGCTCAGTTTCAGTATTTTCCCCATTCCTCTTATTTTAGAAGAACATAAGTAGGTAAGAATTGTAAAGTACAGCTCCCTCTTTAATAAAGCAGCCAGTCTAAATGCCAGTTACAAATATACCTGGCAGTTTTCTACATGCCAGCTGCACTACAAGAATAAGACCTAGTTACAAGTAGCTACTGTAGTAGAAGTAGCTACTGCAGTTGTTTCTCCCCAAACGTTCACTCATTTCCTGAAAAAAAGTAACTTCTCATGCCTGAAAACATCTAAAGTTTACTTGCAATTCAAAAAATTCTACCCAGCTTTATTGTTGGAGACCAGGAAGGGAACTGATGTGTGCCCACAGACACAGCGCGTGCATCCTCGGGCAACTTCCACATTCCCGGACTAGCGGCCTCCATTCCACTCTGCCTGCCTGATGCCCGGGTGCAAGATTCCGCAAAAGCCCAATTGTGAATAGTGCTACATAGGATAAAGGGCAAGATTTGGTGGATGCTTCTATCTTCTGTCATTCTGGGGCTTGACATGGAGCAACATCTCTTGGGTTTTTTTTTAATCTTTGCAAGGACTGCTGAAAACAATTGTTCTGTTGCTGACTGATTAAAAGTCACGTGTTCAGACAAGCAGCATTAAACGATACAAACACACGGATATGTCTATCTCTGTAACACATTGAATTATGAACGAGATGCCTCATTTAAGACAAACAAGTTGTCTCAGAAACGCATCTACTCCCGTACGTTGACCTAATTCCAGATGGCCAAGTCAGAAGTGTGTATGTCTAATACTGCTG